AAAAAAAAAAAAAAAAGAGAAGGTGACCCGAGTTGACCTTGTAGTTAAGATTCTAAACACTCTGATCTGAAGAATTCAGAAAATAGCACACATTATTCACTTTCTTACTGTGAATTGCCTTTTGTAATTACCTTAAAAACAAGCTAATCAAAGAAAAACATATTAAGCTAAAAGTAGAGTGTATATCTTATGGAGTTATTGGAGTGTGTGTGTGTGTGTGTGTGTGTGTGTGTGTGTGTGTGTATGTTACATACATCTAATTATAAATGTTCAATTTGAAGAGCTTCCTGAACGTCAATGTATTTATTGCCTTATTACAGGAATACAGTTTATAAAAAAAAGTAACTTCAGCTTTTAAATCTAGGAACACGCCATTGATATCTTCAAGGAGATTAATTGTTTTAGGTATTTCAGTGATTTGTATTTGCTGCTGTTTTTCCCACCAAGCCTCACCTCCTGGCAGTTTTCCTTCAGGCAGGTGCTAGGGTGCCTAAAGGGATCAACATGCTGCTTCTGGGAGAATCAGGGTTTGTTTTCCTTCTCACCTGGCTTTCCCATGCATCCAGCTTTCTGCCCTCCTTGGGCAGAGTTCAGCTCAAGCCCATGGAAGGACATGGACTTGCTCTCTTTGGTTTGCTTGGAAAATGTGTCCTATCCATTACATTGCTGAGAAGTTATTTTAAAGTAAGAGCTATTTGCCTAAAGCAATATATTTGGTCTTTATATTCTAGCTGAGTTTACAAATCTTCAACCTCCAAGTGTGTTTGCTGTTGAAGGAGGTCTTTTGTCAAGATAGAAGCTGTAGTCGTAGCTACTCTGCTGCTTTTGAGTCTTGAAGTGATATCTCTTGCCAATATCGAGCTGGATGTCAAACGAGGTGATAGTTGGGAGTCCCAGTCTCCTGCTGTGAGGGAGGGTGCCTGTCCCCCACCCAGAGCTGCTGGATCAAAAGTGGTGATGATCGCCTGTTTCTGGCAGAGGTCTCACATTGAAGTTCTGGTTTTGGCTGTCGTTTCTTTAATTGCTATCCTTGGGTGGCAGCTGCTTCTCAAAGCTCCAGCTTGTTAAAATTGGCAGTGTGCTAAGGAAATGTTATTTACCAGGAAAGGACATGTTTGTGAAAAGTGTGAGAATCTGAGCTAATAGATAAATTAAAGCTGATGTTTCAGGTTTAAATGACAGAGGTTGTGAAAGACGCAGGCATCTTTCTTTGCTCCATCCACCCTTTTAAAACTAATTCCACACAAAGATTTGCTCACTGCTGCTTTGAAACCAACATGCCCTTGTCTTTGCGTACATCAACAAACCTTCATTTCATCTCAGCGAAGAGTGTCGGTTCACATCCTCAAGACCCTCACTGACAGGTGATTGTGAAGGTCCAGCTTAGAGACTCAGGCTCCGTGCTAATTTGGGGAGTGGGGTCCCAGACACAGAGGGAAGGCCTGGACCCCACAGGGCCACTTCTTTGTGTGCCTGTACCTTGCTCGGTGCCTCTGGGCTCCTATGTCATCCTCCACTAAGGGCAGGGCCAGGGGCCGAGCATGATGGTTCTGGGACTCCCTGCATGCCTCTGTGGACCCTGAGGCACATATGTCCAGGTAACTGAGGGAGCAGCTCCACTCATGTCCCCCCAGGTGCTAGCAGAGACCTTAGGTGAGTCCAGAATGAGATGCATTAGGGTGCTGATCCATTTACTCCCCACTTTCACTAAGGGTATCCTCTGGTCACCTTGCATCATAGAGCAGGTGCAGAGCAGGGCGCGGGTTTACAAAGCCCTGCCCAACTCTCAACTCTGCCTCCGAGGTCACCGACCTCCATTCCACTCCTCCAGAGAGGTATTCTCATTGAGATGTGGAGGTCTAACACCTAACCAGCACAGCTGTGTGGAAGGCAGTATAATACATGATATTTATGTATATTCTGCCCAGTACCAAATTGAACATAGGTATCCATCAAATAGAAATTATTAGCACAATCACATGACTGGCATCTACATAGTTTCAGAGGAAAAAGTGGTACCTTTTAATGTATAACAAAATATTTATACTGTATTACATACTAAATTATACCCATATTATATATTAATATATATTAGCATAATTGTTAATTTTCATTAATGTATAGATATTACTAACATTTTGTATTGGCTATGATATTGGCATATTTCTGTTTCATTTTAATAAGATTGATAATAGCTAGTAACCACAATAATACTTGTCTAATCAAGTCTTTGGTTTACAACGTACTGAGTAATGTCAGATAGTGAAATGACAAATCTACATGCTGGAATATGGTGTTACGTGTAGTATCAACTGGATGGGCTTTGGGTCTGCCTGGGGATTACTGGAACATTTTTTCAGATGTATCAGGGTGAGTCATGGAGGGTGGTCTTGGAGTCTATATGTATTCCTCATGCCATCCTCTCTGGTGCTGGTTCCCTACTCTGCTTCCCAGCTACCATGAACTAAGCAGCTTTGCTCCACAGCAGCCTTCCGCCATGACATTCTGCCTTGGAGCCAGCTGACCGTGGATGGAATCCACTGAAAGTGTGAACCACATTAAAACTCTCTTCCTTTGTATTGTGGGTGTCAGGTATGGTGTTCTGGCACCAGGAAAATTAACTAATGTATACTGAGTTATTAGGTAAGCATGGAATGATAACCAGAAATCCTGTGCTGCATAATAAAATCATTACCTTTTATTGGCCTCATGCTATATAATATGCCCTGCACTGAGAGAAATTAAAATGTACCATGTTTATTTTCCCTAAGTCTCTGAGAGGCAGTTTTCAGTACTACATCCACTTGAAGATGGGATATCTTACCCTTAGAAAGATTAACAAACTTTCCTAATAGCAAGCTACCAGCTGGTGACTGGCAAAGACCTGATTCTCTGAGAACAAACAGAATTTAAAGACATGACTCTGTTTTCACAATTTTTCACAGAATGAACAATACGTTACTTTACTTTTATTGAGTGTGAAGTATGTGTTAAAAGAAAGAACAGATTTTTATCTTTTCATAACACTTCTTTCCCTCATCAGTCCTCTTCATTTTCATAATGTTGTAATTATTTCTTTGCAGCCAACCATGAGAGAATCCTTAGTAGATTCATAAGCATGGTAATTAACTGGAGATAAACTCATGGCATAAAGCGTGGTCTTGTGTGTTGGCTGAAAGTTACAGCACACAAAAGGAAGAAAGATCTAAAATGTTATGCTCTAGGAGTAGAAGTGCTTCCTACCTAAGTGTAACCCAAAATTCCCTCAAAGGATAGTGGATTTGTAGGTGTAGAGCTAAAGTCAGTGCTACATGTGGCAACAATAATTTAAAAAGAGAAGCAGA